AGAGACGGGGTTTCACCATGTTGACCAGGATGGTCTCGATCTCTTGACCTTGTGATCCACCCGCCTCGGCCTCCCAAAGTGCTGGGATTACAGGCTTGAGCCACCGTGCCCGGCCTAAAATTTTTTTTTAAAGAGATGGGGTCTTACTGTATTGAACAGGGTCGTCTGAATCCTGGCCTCAAGGATTCCACTGGCTCGTCTGCTCCGAGTGTCTCACACACAGCCTCAGTCAAGGCATCTTCCTCCCGGGTTCAAGTGATTGTCCCCCCTCAGCCTCCCGAGTAGCTGGGATTACAGGCACACGCCACCACGCCCAGCTCATTTTCATATTTTTAGTAGAGACGGGGTTTCACCATGTTGGCCAGGCTGGTCTTGAACTCCTGACCTCAAGTGTCCACCCAGCTTGGCCTCCCAGTGTGCTGACATTACAGGCGTGAGCCCTGGTGCTCAGCTGAACTGATGGTATTTTCACCAGGTTCATATTTGATGTGACCATGAATAGGGGGAGAGGGCGTTTTGACAGGGAGGCGTGGTTCTAAGAACATGGAAACATGGGCGGGGCGGGGTGGTTCACGCCTGTAATCCCAGCACTTTGGGAGGCCAAGGCGGGCGGATGCCTTCAGGTCATGAGTTCAAGACCAGCCTGGCCAACATGGTGAAACCCTGTCTGTACTAAAAACCAGCCGGGTGTGATGGTGGCACCTATAATCCCAGCTACTCGGGAGGCTGAGGCAGGAGAGAACTGCATGAACCTGGGAGGTGCTTAGGGTTAGAAAAAAAAGTGAATAAAATGTGGAACGCGGGACGTGGAAGCCTCCCTGTGGGCTTTCTGGGAGTGGTTTTGAGCACTCCTCCTGTAGATGTGGACATAACTTGGTAAATTCTCGTTGGGCCATTGCTCTGAGCTCCTCATACAGCTGCAGATGGGGTCTGGCCTGTCATCATCATCTTCTGAGTGGTTTTGGTTTGTATACACGGGGTGTCATTTTCTTATTGAAAAATATTGGGGCCCGGTGCAGTGGTGTACGCCTGTATTCCCAGCACTTTGAGGGGCTGAGGTGGGCGGATCACGAGGTCAGGAATTCGAGACCAGCCTGGCCAAGATGGTGAAACCCCATCTCTACTAAAAAAAATTCACCGGGCTTGGTGGCACGTACCTGTGGTCCCAGCTACTCGGGAGGCTGAGGCAGGAGAATCGCTTGAACCCTGGAGGTGGAGGCTGCATTGAGCTGAGATCGCCTCACTGCGCTCCAGCCTGGGTGACAGAGCGAGACTCCATCTCAAAAAAAAAAAAAAAAATTCCAAAAGGTGTGCATGTGGTAAGGGCACAGCTCGATAGCTAGTTCCTAAAATCCTGGTACAACCACCGCACGGAGCTGAGGTGGAGCCTTGCTGTCCCCTTGTTAACGAGCTCACTCTGACTCCCACCTCCATTTATTCATCTTAGTATGGTTCTTGGTTTCCATGTTGATTTTTAAAAAATCACCTGCTCCTTTGACCAAGGTCCATTATGTTGTAGTTTTCCACTGATTTTTGTGTGTGTGTGTGTGTGTGATGGAGTCTTGCTCTGTTGCCCAGGCTGGAGTGCAGTGGCACAATCTTGGCTCACTGCAACCTCCGTCTACCAGGTTCAAGAGACTCTCGTGCCTCAGCCTCCGGAGTAGCTGGGATGCCAGGCACACTCCTCCGCCTGTTGGCTGTGGGGATGGAGCTGCTGTGAGCTCAGTGTGTGGATTGCTTCAAGATCCTGCTCCTCCTTTGGGCATATGCCCAGAAGTGGACTCACTGGGTCTAAGCTTAATGCTGTGGGGTTTTTTGTTTTTTTTTTTTTGAGACACAGTCTTGCTTTTGTTGCCCAGGCATGATCTCGGCTCTCCACAACCTCTGCCTCCCGGGTTCCAGCGATTCTCCTGCCTCAGTCTCTCAAGTAGCTGGGATTGTAGGTGTGGGCCACCACACCTGGCTAGTTTTTTGTATTTTTAGTAGAGACGGTGTTGCTCCATGTTGGTCAGGCTGTTTTCAAACTCCTGACCTCGGGCGATCCACCCACCTTGGCCCGTCAAAGTTCTGGGATTATAGGCGTGAGCCACCGAGCCTGGCCTTCCCCCACCCCCCCCACCCCCCGCCTTGAGACAGGTTCTTGCTCTGTGGACCAGGCTGGAGTGCCGTGGTGTGGGGACCAGGGTTCACTGCAACCTCAGCTTCCTGGGTTCAAGTCATCCTGCTGCCTCAGCCTCCTGAGTAGCTGAGACTACAGGCACCCACCAGCACACCTGGCTTTTTTTTCTTTTTGTATGTGGGTGGGGGTCTCACTGTGTTGCCCAGGCTGGTCTGGAGCTCCTGGGGTCAAGCAGTCCTCCTGCCTCAGCCTCCCAAAATGCTGGGATTACAGGCGTTAGCGCCACCCCCTGCTGCGCCCTTTGTGATGGGCACGTCCCATTCTGTTGGCTGGTGTCGCCAACGCAGTGAGCGCGTTTTCTTTCTCTGGTTCCTGGCGGCAGCAGCTCTGTCCCCTGCGGGCCAAGCCCGTGTCACAGACAAGGAAAGTGGGGCCCGAGAGGTGGGACCCCAACGGCAGGTGAGGGGGACTCGGAGGTCTGTCTGGACCCAGCCCCGCCGCCTCCCCCCCCACAGGAGATTGTCAACTTCAACTGCCGGAAGCTGGTGGCCTCCATGCCGCTGTTCGCCAACGCCGACCCCAACTTCGTCACGGCCATGCTGACCAAACTCAAGTTCGAGGTCTTCCAGCCGGGCGACTACATCATCCGCGAGGGCACCATCGGGAAGAAGATGTACTTCATCCAGCACGGCGTGGTCAGCGTGCTCACCAAGGGCAACAAGGAGATGAAGCTCTCCGACGGCTCCTACTTCGGGGGTGAGTGCGGGGGGCGGGAGGGGGTGCGTGCCCCCAGCGGGGCGCAGAGCCGGGGGGCTGCGGGCGGGGCCGGAGCGAGCCCCCGGGAGCCCAGGGTGGAAGGGCCCGCGGTGGGCGCAGTGCAGGGGCCGGGCCGCGTGCCCGGGCAGGGCGGGGGGTCCCGCCGCTGAGGACCCCCCGCCCGCCACGCGCAGAGATCTGCCTGCTCACGCGGGGCCGGCGCACGGCGAGCGTGCGGGCCGACACCTACTGCCGCCTCTATTCGCTGAGCGTGGACAACTTCAACGAGGTGCTGGAGGAGTACCCCATGATGCGGCGCGCCTTCGAGACGGTGGCCATCGACCGCCTGGACCGCATCGGTGAGCGGGACGGGCGTGGACGGGGCGGGGCCGGGGCTTCGGGGGCGCGGCAGGGGCGGTGGCATGAGGGGCGTGGCTGGGGTCAAGGCAGGGGTGGCCAGGGCTTGAGGGGTGTGGCCAGGGCTTGAGGGGCGGGGCTGGGCGTGGTCAAGACCTGAGGGGCGTGGTCGGGGTCAAGGCAGGGGTGGCCAAGGCCTGAGGGGCGTGGCTGGGATCAGGGCAGGGGTGTGGCCAAGACCTGAGGGGCGTAGCTGGGGGTCAAGGCAGGTGTGGCCAAGGCTTGAGGGGTGTGGCCAGGGCTTGAGGGGCTGGGCTGGGCGTGGTCAAGGCCTGAGGGGCGTGGTCGGGGTCAAGGCAGGTGTGGCCAAGGCCTGAGGGGCGTGGTCGGGGTCAAGGCAGGTGTGGCCAAGGCCTGAGGGGCGTGGCTGGGGTCAGGGCAGGGGTGTGGCCAAAGCCTGAGGGGCGTGGCTGGGGTCAAGGCAGGAGTGTGGCCAAAGCCTGAGGGGCGTGGCTGGGGTCAAGGCAGGGGTGGCCAAGGCTTGAGTGGTGTGGCCGGGCGTGGCCAAGGCCCGAGGGGCGTGGCCGGGCGTGATCAAGGCCTGAGGGGCGTGGCTGGGCGTGATCAAGGCCTGAGGGGTGTGGGCGGCCCCTCCCGGGTTTCTTTTCGGTTTGCAGGCTGGTTTTCTGACCTGTGGTCCTACCGGGGTGCAGTAGGACGGGGGCGAGGCCAGATAGAGCACGGGGTGTTCACACTTGTGCCTAAGGCTCATCTGGCAAATGTCTGCTGAGCACCTGCTGTGTGCTGGGGGGTGCAGGGGGCAGATCAGGAGGCCGACTCGGACTCCCAGGGAGGCTTATGGGCTGGTGGTCAGATCACACGGTGGGCTGTGTGCCAGCAGGGGAGGTGGGTCCGGTGGGCTTCCGAGTTGGGAATGCACAGTGGAGGCCAGGGTGAGTAGGTGAGGCCATGCGGACAGAGGGAAGGGCGTTCCCAGAGTAGACACAGCAGATCCCAAGGCCCTGGGGTGGGGAGGAGGCCTAGGGTCCAGAACCAGGGACGCCTGGAGGAGGAATGTGGGGAGGCAGGTGGGGCCAGACACACAGGAGTCAGTGGGTAGTGAGGAGAGTTTAAATTAGGAGCCTCAGGGGTAGGGTTCCAGGTGGATGGAGGACCTGGTCTACTGGGGATGGGGTGGGGGGGTGGCAGTCTCCAGAACAGAGAAGGGCAGGGCCCTGACGACGGGATGTAGGCGGCAGGGAGATGGTGGCTCGTGCTGCTGTTACTGGGAGTGGAAACGAAAACCACGGCTGAAATGCTGGACAGCGCGATGGAGAGGTATGGGGGAGCTCGCCAGTGTACAGTAAGCAGCACTCCACGAGTTGCTCTACACAGTGGGCATGCAACACACTGGGTATGGGGTGCTTAGGGTATACCTGGTGTATACAGCAGGCACTCAGCACTTGCTGTGTACAGACAGGTGTTGTGGGTATGCCTGTTGCACACTGGAGGCACTAATTACATCAGTGTATGCAGTTGGTACACATGCATCCTTGGTGTATAGCGATACCTGCTCCACGCACACAGCAGGCAATAACTACCTGCTTTTTGTATGCAGGTGCTTCGTGCATGCTGGCTGTGCATAGCAGGTGCTCAGCCTGTATACAGCAGGTACTCAGTATCCATACTGTAGGCAGGAGATGTGACATGTTTGCTTATTGTATACAGTAGGTGCTAAATATGTGCTGGCTCTACGCTGCAGCACTCCATGCATCCCCGCTGTATAGAGCAGGTGCTAGATGCCGGGTTGCTGTATCCAGCAGGCGCTCCGAGTGCCTACTGTATGCAGCAGGCGCCCCCTGTGCACGTGCTGACCACCCCCATCTCCCGCAGGCAAGAAGAACTCCATCCTCCTGCACAAGGTGCAGCATGACCTCAACTCGGGCGTATTCAACAACCAGGAGAACGCCATCATCCAGGAGATCGTCAAGTACGACCGCGAGATGGTGCAGCAGGCCGAGCTGGGCCAGCGCGTGGGCCTCTTCCCGCCGCCGCCGCCGCCGCAGGTCACCTCCGCCATCGCCACGCTGCAGCAGGCCGTGGCCATGAGCTTCTGCCCGCAGGTGGCTCGGCCGCTCGTGGGGCCGCTAGCGCTCGGCTCTCCGCGCCTGGTGCGCCGTCCGCCCCCGGGGCCTGCACCTGCTGCCGCCTCGCCGGGGCCCCTGCCCCCCGCCAGCTCCCCAGGCGCGCCCGCCAGCCCCCGGGCACCGCGGACCTCGCCCTACGGCGGCTCCCCCGCCACCCCCCTCGCCGGGCCCGCCCTGCCTGCGCGCCGTCTGAGCCGCGCGTCGCGCCCATTGTCCGCCTCGCAGCCCTCGCTGCCCCACGGAGCGCCCGGCCCTGCGGCCTCAGCGCGCCCGGCGAGCAGCTCCACGCCGCGCCTGGGGCCCACACCCGCCGCCAGGGCCGCCGCACCCAGCCCGGACCGCAGGGACTCGGCCTCGCCCGGCCCCGCCGGTGGCCTGGACCCCCAGGACTCCGCGCGCTCGCGCCTCTCATCCAACTTGTGACCCTTGCCCACCGCCCCGCGCGCCCAAGCGGGCCGGGGGCGGGGCCGTCATCCAGACCAAAGCCATGCCATTGCGCTGCCCCGGCCGCCAACCTGCCCAGAAGCCATAGACAGACGTAGGTAGCCGTAGTCGGACGGACGGGCCGGTGGGGCAGCCCCCTCTGCACCCCCGGCCGTCCCCCCTCATCGCCCTGCGCCCACCCCCATCGCCCCTGCCCCCGGCGGCAGCCTCGCGTGCGAGGGGGCTCCCTTCACCTCGGTGCCTCAGTTCCCCCAGCTGTAAAATGGATGGGGCAGCCCAGTGGCCAAGAAGAGCCCGCTGTGGAGCCCCCCCAACCCCCCAAGGTGGCCCGCTGTCCGATGAGGATTGTTTTCTAAGTGCAATACTCGGCCCGCTGGCTTCCCGCTGCCCCCATCGCGCTCACGCAATAACCGGCCCAGCCCCGTCACCTGGCGTCCCGCGGTGACCGCCGGGAGCAGCCGCCCGGCTCCCTCCAGCACCCGCAGCGAGGGGCGGGCTGCGCAGGGTGCGGGGGCGAGGCTGGGGTCCCGCCGCCGTGATGAATGTACTGACGAGCCGAGGCAGCAGTGCCCTCCCACGCCCCATTAACCCCCACACCCCCATTCCGCGCAATAAACGACAGCATTGGCGCCCAGCCTGCCCGCGTCTCATTGCTTGGGTGCTCACCCTCCCTGAAGGTAGCCGCTCCGGTGGGTGGCCAAAGAGCTTTATTTTATTTACACAATGGCACCACGAGATGTCAGCTGAAGAAGAAGGTGGAAAGCTTCACACGCTCCAGGTCGAAGGTCCCTGTGGAGGAAGCAGAATGGAGGACATGGGCAGGGACGGGGGGCAGTGAGATGCCCTGCAGTGAGCACCACCCATGCCAGGCCGCCCCCACCATACCTGGCTTGGGCACTGCCAGCAGCGTCTCCCTCAGCTTGATGTCCTCCAGATGCTGGGAGAGCTTCTGGGGCCTGGGTCGGGAAGCATGGCAGGGTGAGGCGGAGGGCAGCAGGGAGGGGGTCCTGGGTGCCAGGTCGGGGGGCACCTCACCTGGAGCCGCAGCAGAACCGGCTGATCAGGAAGCTGGACAGGTCCTGCAGGATGGGCTGGCTGTGCAGGCGGACGAACTGCTCCCGGCACACCTGGCGGGGGCGGGGGAGCAGGAGTGCGGGGTTGCCCAGGGACGATCAGGCAGGGTCTGGGCCCCACCCATGGTTCACTGAGGCGTAGATGGGGGGTTACCTGATTCATGATGGGGACATCAGCCGCATGGGTCCAGAAGCAGTCATGCACAGAGACGAAGGTCAGGCCCTCCCTGAGGCAGAGCAGAGAAGCTCTTGAGGGGAGGGACACCCGCACGGCCACCCAGCAGCCAGCTTCCTGGCCCTGTGCCCCCACCTTCCTACGCTCGGCCCCTCCACTTGAGGTCCTGGGAAGCCCACCCTCCTCCAAGCCTGCAGGCCTTACCCCAAACAGGCCGTGCAAAGGTTCTCAAAAGCCTCTCTGCCCTACACCAGACACCGTCCAGGCCGCTACCAGCCTCAGCTTCAAGGGCAGCTGTGTTCTCCCCTCCTGCGGGGGCCACCACCCCCCCATCACAGATGTTCCCACCCCCCATGGCTGGTGAATTCTGCTGGAACCTCCACATGCCACAGATCAGGCCACACACTGCAGTGCCCACCTAGAAATGCCCAACAGGAAGGGGCAGAGCCACGCTCCACTCGCCCCATCAGGCCACAGGAACCTCCCCACCCCACCCCCGGCGAGGAGAGCTTACAGGGTGCACGTTTGGGGTGCCCCACTGTCCCCGGCACACAGCACAGCCTCAGAGCCTCTGCACAGGCCTCACAGACATAGCAGATCCACTCCCCCCAGTCCCTGCCCTCCAGAACTGTACCCTCCTGGACCTGGCCTCGCCAGCTGCACCTGGTAGCCAGAACAGGCTGGCACACAGGCCTCTGGGAAGACAACAGCGCCCACCCTCCCGGCCGCGCCCACCTCTCCCGGCCACGCCCACCTGTAGCAGTGCAGGGCAGTCAGCATCATATGCGTGGAGTCCAGCGAGTGGATGAAGTTGGGGGGGAACCCGTTCCTCTGCTTCAGCTTGTTGGGCTTCCTGGGGATAGAATGGGGGTCAGAATGCACCCCAAGCCTAGGGACCCCCTAACTGCTGTCTCCGCTGTGGGTTCCCCCCACCAACTCCCCAGCCCAGGCCACCCCCTCATTCACTGGTCACTGTCTGCACTGTGGGTACCGTTATCTCCACAGCCTGGGCCCCTCCAAACATGACCCGTCTCCACTGCAGGTGCCCCCCAAACTCCCCAGCCCAGGCCCCCAACTCACAGGCTGCTGTCTGCGTTGACAGAGTAGGAGACGCTCTGAAGCCCACCTCTGCCCTGCTAAAGGAGAAGGAAGGGGCCTGTGAGTCCCGCCCGAGGCCCAGCACAGCGGGGGGACGGCGTGGAACACGCACTCACCTTGATCTTTATTTCCTGGTGGTAAGGCTGGATGATGGGGATGCCCAGGGGTGTGACCCACTCCACCGCTGAGCCCATGTGGGAGATGAGGCGGGCGCTCTCAGTCAGCCAGTGCTGCGGAACACAGGCTGTCTCAGGGCGGGGAGCTCCGGCCGGGGCTGCCATCCGCCTGGTCAGGGAGCCCGGTCAAGCAGGGGCAGAGGCCAGGACGCACCTGGATGGCCCGGGAGCCCGAGAACATCTCCTGCAGGCTCCTGAAGACGTGGCGGACGAGGTAGTGGGAGGCCTCCCACAGGAACTCCTGCAGAGAGTGGGCGGCAGGAGGGGGTCCCTCAGGGGCGGCCCGTAGACGCCCTCCTCTCCCAATGCACAGAGCAACTGAGGCCCAGGGCCCAGGGGTTGGGGCCTGACATGCAGGCGGTCGGCAAGAGACTCCCTGGCTCTAGCAGGCAGCCAGTGGTATGGGGCAAAACCATCTGATTTTCAAGTGGCAGTGAAACCGTCAGATTTTTAAACGGCGATGAAATCAACACGGGACCCAGCACCGAGGCCTGGCACACCTGGGGAAAGTCACTCAGCTCGCGGAGGCGCTTCTCAATCTGCAGGCGCCCGCCATATCGCGTGACCCCGTACACCACGGTCATCACTGTCTGCTTCACCACCTTGCGGGTGACAAAGCCCTCCAACACCTGCGCCACCCGCAAGTCACGCCTGGCGTCCTGCCTGCGGAAAACCTCCACCTGCATTGTGGGTTGGGGAGCAGGTCAGCTCAGGGGCCACGGGGCACCCATGGAGCCTGGGCAACATCTGCCTGGGAACACCACATCTCAGGACAGGCCAAGGCACCCGCATGTGGGCAGAGGCTCCAGGCCCACACCCCTGCCACACGAAGATGCCACCGGGGGCAGGTAGGAGGGCACGCCCCACCTGCGCGGCCACGTCACTGTACACGTCCTGCGGCACGTCTGCGGGCTCCAGGTTCACAGAGGCGGCGCCCACACTGTCCCGGCCCAGGGCGGCGTAATGCTGCAGGCCATTGCAAGAGCCGTCCTGGTAGGGGGAGCGCAAACGGGACGCTGAGGCTCAGGGACGTGCAGGGGCCCCAACAAAGCCCCCAGGTGAAGCCGTTACCAGGGGCTTGCATGCTCCTGGGAGGTGGGTCGGCTGGCCCCGTTAGAGCCTCCCTGAGAAGACACCACAAGGAAGGTGAAATCTCACATCCTGAAGTTGAGCCCCAGGCCCAGGGCACACGGCCTCACCTGATGGACAGGGAGGTGGGAGACGTAGGCGGCAGGGTCGGAGGTGCGCACAGCCTTTGCAATCTCCATGCAGCAGGCCAGCGTCTGCCAGGGTTCCTCTGAATCCATCCACCACTTCCGGCCCTGTGGGGACAGGGGCAGAGGGACAGTGAGGTCCGGCGGAGTCCCTCAGCCCACTGGGGGGCTGTGGTATGGAGACACAGAAACACGGGGTGGGAGGGGGTGGCGGGGAGACGCACATGTGAGAAGGGGGCCTGGGACCCACGTGCGCGAGATGGGGGCGTGGCTGGAACACGTGGGCTGCGGATGGATGGGGCGGGGCAAGTGAGCCCAGAGGTGCCTGGGGAGGAGGGCGCGTGCCCAGGTCCCGCCCCTACCGTCATGGGATGGTCCGCGGAGTCCAGGATGTCGCCCATCACCTCCTCCGCGAAGGCCCGGCGCACCTGCAGCGGCTCGCGCTTCTTGAGCCCCGTGAGGTTGACGACGTGGATCTTGAGCCAGTCTAGGCCGTGCGGGCCGAGCGGGCGGCCCTGGGCAAACTCCAGCAGGGCCCGCGCCAGGTCGTTGCCCAGGTGGTTGAAGTGCGGCGGGCAGGGGTAGGTGCGGCCGCGGAAGTCCATGTTGTGCGGCAGCCAGAAGACGCGGTCCCGCAGGTGCGCCGCCAGCGAGAGGCGGTACAGCGCCTCCGCGCGCAGGCTGTGCATCTCGCGGGCCTCCTTCAGGCAGCGCGCCAGCTCTCGGCGCAGCTCGGCCTTGCGCACCAGCGCGGTGCTGGGCGGCAGGGGGGCCTCGTGCGGTGGGGCCACCTCGGACGGCCGGGCCGGCACGCTGAGCTTGGGGCAGCCCTTGTCCTGGAAGAGCTCCAGCACCAAGTCCAGCACGCGCCAGTTGACACGCCGGGCACAGCTGCCCAGCTGGGTGAGCGTGTCCAGGGCGCCGTGCAGTGCGGTGGGCGCGCAGTTTTCCAGCAGCCGCTGGTGGTGCGTGGTGCCGTCCACCGCACGCATCAGCTTGGTGGGGCTGAGCAGGAAGGCGCCGGTGTGCGGCGAGGTCCAGGGCAGCGGCGGGCATAGCATGGGCACGTCCACGGCCTCGAAGGTCAGCGTGGGCTCCGCGGCCGTGGCCAGCAGCTGCACGTAGGCCGGGTGCGGCTTCAGGAAGCCGATCTGGGGTGGGACAGGCGTACGGGTCAGGGCCCCAGGGCTGGAGCCTCGCTGCCCCCGCCCCTCAAACTCGGGGGAGAGGGGCCGGCTCCCCAGCCAACAGGAAACAGTGCGGAAGCCACCTCTAGACACGGAGGGACAGCTGTGTGGACCCTCAGTGTGTCTGGAGTCCCGGGAGGTGCCGACGGCTGCGCTGGGGCCAACCCCCAAACTCAGGAGGGAACTGCTGCCTGGCACCGGCGGCCCAGAGCACGCGCACCTGGTAGACGTTGCGGAAGGAGTACACGTGGTAGAGCAGGGGGACGAGCCGGGAAGTGTCGCGCAGCTTGCCCAGGTCGGACGGCATCTTCGTTGCCTGCACCAGGATCTCCGCCAGCAGCCTACCCAGCTCCACCTGCACCAGCAGGGGCCAGGGCTGCTCCTGCGGAGGTTCCGACACCCCAAGCGCCTCCCAGTACTGCCGCGGCAGGCAGGGCTCGGGCACCTGTGGGGCAGGGCAGTTGGGAGAGCTGGGCACCAGGGCCTCCCAGACCGACGCCCCGCCGCCCGTGCCTGCCCCCCACTGCGTGGGGCACTGTCAGCCCCAGCGTAGAGAGGAAGAGGCTGAGGCTTGGGGACGAACCCAGCTGCCCCAGAGAGGGAGGGCGCCCCACCACACGGCCCAGCAGGAGGAGGGCGGGCTCACCTCAGTGTCGGAGGCCAGCAGGTGTAGGTACCGCCTGTAGTGCCTCTTCAGCGCCTCCACCTGGCCGCTGAACTGCTGCCTCTGTACCTCGTGCCGGCCGAAAGTGCGCGCACCCAGATCACGGGCCAGGCCCATGAAGGACTCACCCTGGGTGGGCAGTGCCTGCAGGGCCTGCGGGAGGAGACCGTGAGTGCCCGCCTGCCCGCCCTGCCCGGGACCCGGCCGCGCGGAGGAAGACGCACCTGCAGGAGCATGCGCACCATCTCCTGCTCGTCCAGCAGACACAGAAAGGGGAACATCGAGGGCAGGCCCCTGTGCGCCTCCCGCTCCAGGCGGTCCTTGGTCTCCTGCAGCGCCTCCAACAGCGCCTTCTCCCACTGTAGCCGCAGGAGCTTCAGGGTCTCCCGCTGCGGGGGATGCAATGGCCCGGTTAGCCCCGTGGCAGCTGATGGGACCCAGGCTCAAAAGACGGCTCCCTGGAGAGGCCTCATGGCCCTCAAGGTCAGTGGAAGGTCCCTGCAGCATGTTCCAGGCAGTTGCTACCCTGGCCGGGCCTCTGCCGGCTTCCGTGCGCCTGAGGCAGCCAAGAGCACACACTGCAGATGGCCAAGACCCAACCTCGGGACCCCACAGGCTGTCCCTGAGCAGCAACCAGGCTCACACCCCAAGCCCCACATGCCCAGACCTGGGGACCAGCAATGCGGAGCTTAGCCCCCGGGGTGGGGACACGCACGGGACCCCGGCTCGGTCCCTACCGCGTGCCTGACTTCCTTGCTTTCTGCCACAGGCTTCTCCACGGACTTCACGCACACGGTGCTGGCCAGCTCCACGCGGAGCTGCTGCGTGAAGAGGTCCCACAGGGTCTTCAGGGGCAGGTGCAGCTTCGGGTAGGACACGGGACCATCCTGCAGGGACGGGGCAGTGAGCCTGGGGGCCTGGCCCCAGGGGACCCCAAGGCGTCACACCTGCACTGGCTCCCGCGTCTCCTGCAAATTGCTGGCTGCCATCGCTGACACCGGGGAAGGCGGGTGTCGGGCGGTGGGCACAGTGCCAGGGGCGTAAACAAAAGGCGACCGTCGGCCCCTCAGGACGGGATGCTGGGCACCATGGGGGGGCGGTGCTGGGAGCCGGCAGAACCCGGGGAGACGGTTGACTGCGCCCCTGATGATAGCCATTTCCTCCTCAAACTGGGAACTGTGTGACCCATCCAGAAATAGATGAATTAAAAATAGTAACTAAAGCCCAGCACTGTGACAATCAAAGGCACACGTCCACAAGAAACACTTGTACACAAACGTTCACAGCCGCATGAGTCACAGTAGCTGAGAAGTAGAAGCAACCCAAGCAACCGTCGCCGGACACAGTGCGGCCATCCGCGCGCAGGAGCATGGCTCGGCCCTCACCCAGGCCGCCAGGCAGACGCACGAGGGCGCCAGGCTCAGTGGGAGAGGCCACACACAAAAGGCCACGCGCTGCGTGGTCTCCTGTTTATGAAATGCCCAGGGCAGGCCGACCCAGAGACGAGGAGAGGACGTGTAGGGGCGGGGGAGGGGACGTGTGGGGGCGGGGGAGGGGACGAGGCTTCCTTTTGGGATGACCTAAAATTCCGGAGCTAGACAACTGTGAATGTGCTGAAATCGCTGAAGTACACCTTTAAGAGGGTGAGTTTTATGGCGGGTGAATCACACCTCAGTGAAAGACAAGCCCAATGCCTGCACCCGGCAGCCCCACTTGAACGCCTGCTCTCGCCTGCCATCCTGCCCTTCCTCCATGATGCCCGACCACCTCGTGCCCCTGGCGCCCACAGCCTCAGGGCCAAGACCATCCCAGCTCTGGCTCCTTCAGTATTCTCGGAGGTGAGCCCCGAGCACCCCCACAGGGCAGCTGCAGGACTGAAGTCCGGGCGTCCGCTGGGCCCCGCCGCGGCTCACCTTGGCATACACGTCCCTGAGCAGCTTCGAGGTGTTGACCGGGGACAGCAGCCGCTCCGGGACTTTGAAGGTGGGCTTGGCCTTCAGCACGGCCTTCAGGACAGCGGCCCGCTCCGCCTCGCACAGGGGCACTGCAGTGAAGATCTCCTGCAGCTTCAGCCCCTCCTGGCTCATCTGCTTCAGACACCTGTGGGCAGCAGAGGCCTGCTGGAGGGACAGGGCAGCCCCACGGGGCTTCCATGGAGTGGGGGACGCTGCCTGACCACCTCCTGCAGACCCTGCAGGTCTCAGGATCAGGGCAGCCCCACGTGCAGCTTCCATGGAGCCTAGGGGCGCCTTGTGACCACCTCCTGCTGATCCTGCAGGCCTCTGGGAGGCTGTGAGGTCCTCTGGGGGTCCCCAGTCCAGGCACCGTCCCAGAACTTGAGTCCCGGCAGGAACGTGGAAGTGGGGTGGGGCCTACCTTTCGATGGTCCCAACGTCCGGGTCCTGCCGCCCCATGCACTGGAGGGCGGCCGCGTAGGAGACCAGGTCCGGGCTGAAGCCTGCATCCTTCACCATGATGAACACATACAGCAGCTCCCTGAAGGCGCCCTGGGGAACAAGCCAGGCGAGGTCTGGGGGATCGGCCCAACCTCCACATCACCCCTGCTCCCTAGAGACCGTGCCCTGCAGCCACCAGCTCAGGAGGGGCCAGCTGGGCCAACGGAGACACGTCCCCCTAAGGTTCTCACGCAAAGGCTCCACTGCAGAGGCCGCATGGACAGCCGGGTGGGGCTGTGGGGGGCTTGCCTTCCTCTGGGAGGAGGCTTGTCAGTCTTTTTAAGTTTCCTTCTTTGAGAATACAAATGTGACCAATGTGGGGTTCTAAAACTGACCCCTTCTGCGGACAGCCTGCCTACAGCTTCGACGACCGCGCTGCTCTCTTCAAAGCACTTGGCTTTGCTGTTCTCTGGGGCTTCTGCCTTCTGCTTCATTCATTTCTGTTTTAATTTTTCTAACTTCCTTTTTCACCTGCTGGCTTTAGGGTGAGTGGGACCTTTCCTAGCTTCCTCAGGTGAAGGGTGATGAATCTGGTCTAAGATGTTTCTCTTTTTCAAGACAGAGTCTCGCTCTGTTGCCCAGGCTGGATGCAGTGGTGCAATCTCATCTCACTGCAACCTCCGCCTCCTGGGTTCAAGCGACTCTCCTGTCTCAGCCTCCCGATTAGAGAGTAGCTGGGATTACAGAGGCACGCCACCGTGGCTGGCTAATTTTTGCATTTCTAGTAGAGACAGGGTTTCATGATGTTGGCCAGGCTGGTCTTGAACTCCTGATATCAAGGGATCCGCCCACCTCAGCCTCCCAGAGTGCTGGGTTTACAGGCATGAGCCACCTTGCCCAGCCTTGTGTTGTTTTTTATTTTTATTTTTATTTTTTTTTGAGACGGAGTTTCACTCATGTTACCCAGGCTGGAGTGCAATGGCGCGATCTCGGCTCACCGCAACCTCCGCCTCCTGGGTTCAGGCAATTCTCCTGCCTCAGCCTCC